TTGGTCATGTACAAAATGCCACCATTGCTTTGTTTCATGTGTATAAATGGAGGATAGGTTTTGTCCTTGTTCCATAATATTAATATAACATAGTTGAATATCCTTTTACAGTGTGATTAAATTAAGGGCTTTACAGATAAACTGCAGACTAATGATGATTCATATTTGTAGTCACCTTTTTATCCCACTGTAAAACAAAATAAAAATCATTAGAAAATCCTAATGTGTTGTTACTTTTATTTAACTTTTGCTATTCACATTTTTTTTACATTTCAAAAACATTCACAGGATCAATGCTTAAATATTTACAAGGAGTTCCATGCAGCCAGGAGGGAGATTCTGAAGATGGGGAACCATGAAGAACCATTTTCAAACACTGCTCAACAACACCAGCATCCTGAAAAACTCCAGCAACCATCTGCTTCCACTTCAGCACACCATGTTGAACCCTCAAGCGACGGTACACAGACACAGCACACAGCGATTGTGTCAGAAGGTACTGTACACACACCCATATTGGAAAGCCCTCCAGCAGGTAAGGAGATTAATGCACCACCTCCAACAGACTCCGCCCTTTGGCCGTCAAATATTTCACACAGTGACCGGGTTGAAGTCGTGAGAAGAGGACCATTCAAAGTTCCAGCAGAATTTTCTTTTCCTAAGAGTTCAGATGGATCAGCCACAAAGAACAAATGTCCCTTGTTGTGCGGATTGTTGAATTGGCACCTAATCCAGATATCAAAGAGTACTTTCTGGGCTTTATGAATGTGGTAGAAACAACAGGGCTCAATCTCTCAAATGTTGTTCCTGACAAGTTTAGGGAACTCAGCATTTCCTTCGACATCAGCAGAGGTCAGTCTTATGATAATGGAGCCAATATGAAGGGAAAGAGACAAGGAGTACAGGCCAGACTGCTACAACAGAATTCAAGAGCAGCGTTTGTCCCATGTGCTGCACATACAATGAATCTGATCATATCAGATGCTGCTAAGTCATCTACGGATGCAACTGGCTATAGGGCTGCTTGATTATGGCAAAAACAATAATCACAATTATTGTGACTGAAATTGAGATCTCGATTATTTAAGATGATTTTTCAATTTATGTTGATTTTATTTGTTTTTATTCAGTCATAAAATTGCTCCGGGCAAAATCAGGACAAAAATAAATAAGAAACAAGATGATCACTAAAATAACCCGATTCTCAGTATAAAAAGACCAATATACTTATAGCTCATAGTGTATGACCCAAGGGCTATAGACCTTGGTTTAACTCATTTAAGTCTAACCAGTACAGACCCAAATACCAATATCTTGCAAATACTGACAGCAAGAATTATACAGTGGCATTTATAACAAATAAATGTAAATAAATTGATGTTCACAAAATGTTGCATAACATTTGATATTTGAATGTTCCATGGAGGCATGGTGAGGTGAGAATATTTGTGCCGCCATAGTGCCTGTATTTGATATAGTGCCTTCTAGAGTCCTGTGTTTTTGAAACGTACCATTTCTTGAGCACAGATTACAGTAGGAGAGCAACAGTTGCTATGGAGATGGAGTAAAGTCACACACGTAAGGCGAGTCTGCTGATGGGCAGAGGGCAGCTTTAGCTTCCTGCAGCAGGCTTTGATGCATTGGTTTGAATGTGACAGAAGAACCAAAATGCACATCAGTGTAGCAGGCAAAGGACATTTTCTGTTTGGATTTCTAAATTTTTGTTTATTTTTCTTAATTCTGCATGACATTAAACATTATTTTGGAAACCTTCAAACCCCTTTAACCTTGCATTGTGTGGTAATTTCCACACATGAATATCACCAACAGCAGGGGAATGTCAGTCTGGTGCATTAAGGGGTCAAGTCTTACAGAATAATCTCATTATTGCAACACAGATAACTACTGCCGCAACAATAAAGGGGATTGAGTTGTTTAAGAAGGCAGCGATACGAGCCGGTTACGGTGGTGTTCAGACTAGTGAGCGACTCATTAGCCCTGAGGGATGTGAACTTTATTCCTCCAAACTGAGTCCCCTCAGGAATCCACCCACAACAATTAATATACAATTATTTATCATTTTGACACATAATCAAGGTTTGAAACAGATGAAATCTTTCTCTAACAGATTATTGTGACCTTCTTTAGAATTGGATGTCTTGTTGTCAACAGGAGAAGGTCAGAAGGCATCAAGGAACTCAGTTACTTCCAGTTATCATTGGTTTTCTCTATATTATTCGTTGACATAAACTAAAAAGACAGCAGCATTATCATTTAAATCATTCCAATTCCATCTGCTGCCTCCATCCAACGTGGAAATAAACAGTGATTTATCTAAATATGTCATCAGCCAGCTCCTTGATTGTGTCCTTCAGCTAAAAGCGGGGCGAGATCACCATCAGCTCCTCCACATGAGGGTCTGCATGCATTTATTTTACACGCAGAACCAATTTCAATTTATATGGATCTAAATAGCATCTTTACTGGTCGTGACAATGGTCACAGTAGCACGTGATGACCATGTTAATCCAGAGGCCGAGGCTCTCTGCTGGTAGTCCCCCTCTCGTGAGCCGTAACTGCCCCCACACCCTCTCTGCCCCCCCTCCACTTAACTCTAATCGATGGGCCCTCCTCCAGTCGGCCATTTATCAGAGCAGCCCGACAGATCCAGAGAAATAGCCACAGAGGACCTGCCCCCTCGACCTCGTTACACAGAGCTCACACAAGCCAGACGTACTGGACGAGCTGAAGTGGCTTTAGTCACGGATCGAAAGAGGAAGAAAAAATGAACACAAGACGACGAAGAGGAGGATTGTTTTTAACTTAAATCCCACTAGTCCTGTTTATTTCTCCTGTTTCCTGTACTCAGGGGACGCACTCCCAATCCAGTCCCCCAGTGATCGCTCCGAGAACGTCTCTTCCTATAAGATCACATGTGCTGTTGATCAAAGCGACGCGGTGTGAATTACCCTGTCCCTGACACCAAAATCATGGTGCTACCAAAGCCCGGGGCTACATAGCCTTTACTACATCTGGATCCCAGAGAACCGTCCGCTTACATTTAGCTGCTTGTCTCTGATGTTATTTAACAAACCAAAGAGACACGGAGCAAGCCTTTACATTGCACATCCCCCAACTTTTTACAGGAAATGTTGGCCCCATTTAATTTAATGTGGATTTCTTGTCTTTACTTATGAGAAAATCTCTCAAACACCCTCTTCAGGCTGACTCACAGTGAGAGCTTCCACGGTAATCACATATCAAAATACTGATAAAGAGCATTTAGTAAAAAAAAATCATCAAAGTTTTCCTTTCCTTTGGCTGTGTTAGAAGTGTGTTGTATGCTGTAGAATTTAAAAAGCAGCTTAAATGTAATAATTATGTTTACGAGTTGTTGCAATACTCCATTAGCCAGGCAAACCATCGTAAACATGTAAATAAATGGTCTGGCAACGACCCACTGACAATCTACTGTTGTCTTTCCAACTGTCTCCGCATGCGATTGGACAGTGCTAGGACCAATCAGAGCAATGTACAATGTAACGTGCATTTCGCTATACGCTGCCGAAGAAGAAGAGGAAAATTCATCCTTTTTTGAAATACAGGACTTAGGAACGTCTATCGGGTCATGTCTCAAACAAAGACCTGCAGGTTAAATCATCCAAAGTGGATGTTAAAGCCGTTTCAAATGGAGCCTTTCCTGCGCCGATGCCATATTTGTAGTTTGTAGTTTGTCTCTGTTGCTAAACCTGCCTCTCTACAGACATAGAGCTCTATGATTGGCCCAAAAATTCTTCAGTCCAATGCAGAAACTGGTTGATCACCCCGGGGCCAGACTACTAACATGTGGCTTTACAACCACAATGTCCTCGGAAGTGAAAACACTTTTAAAAGGGAGGGGGTGTCCTAACTGTTGCTGTAGGCGTGTTGTGTGAGAGTGCAGTTATATACTGGTTAATGTATTTTTGGGTTCAGTTGCTTTCATGTGGCCTAATGTGAGTCCATTTAAAATGTTAAGTTGTTTGGTGATGTTTTGGAAAAGGAATTTGGGATCATTGGAATGATCAGCAGCGTTTCTTGATGTGACCTTATGGCGGTTTCCCAGGGCATCACAAGGAGGGCGGCATCCATTATTTTTTTGTTTTATTTGGTATTTTTTCAGTCATTTTTGGAAATAGTGATTAATTTTGATTAATTCACAGCTTTATGTTTAATTAGATTTGAAAATTAGTCATTTGACATCCCCAATTATAATAAATGTCTACAGATGAGATCAAACAAGACAGAGGAGAATTGCCTGAAGCTGTTTAACTTGGACCAAGCATTTTAGGTCACAGATGGGTGTAGCTTAGGGTCTCTGTCTGTACACCTTATCCTCCCTTGCTCATCCCCTTCCAAAGTATTCTGAAGGATTCATTTCTGGTTTTTCATTTTTTGAAATATGAGGCAGAAAGAGGTGTTGTCTGGCGAACCGCATGGTACACATGGAAGGGGCTGGGTGGAGTCAACTCTTTCTTACGTGCTATGCTAAAAGTTTATGTTGTGTCATAATAGGCTGACTTTATTCTTTCTGATCTCCAGGGCAAAACAACAAACACTGAGCAGCTTATTATTGTCAAGCAAATCATGCACACCTCAACTAGCAGCAGTCGTCACAAATAGCAGCTGTAAGACATTTTAGGTGATAGCATGTTGTTTTTCTGCTATTGAACTATTTTCTAATAAAGTTGTGTTTAATAAAGTGAAGGAAGGAAAGAAAAAACGTTTCCCTAGCAGTTTTTAAAAATTTCCCCATATAATCCGATTAATCGATTAATCGTGTCGAGACCACATCCGATTAATCGATTATCCAAATAATCGTTTGTTGCAGCACTACTTCACATAACAAAAAGGTTCATAAAAAGCTCATTTACATAAGCGTAGTGGTGTGGATGGGGCCTGGTGACGAGTGAAGCTATGAAGGCATCACACTTAGTGGGATCTGCTAGATACAAACCTACCTTTGATCCTCCTGGACTCCCTTCGTTGGCTGGTTTTGACACCTGCCTGGACCTCGGCCTCTGCTGACATCCTCCACCTCTGAGTCCCTTGTCCTGCTCACAGTAGATCCACCATTGGTTAGCAGCACACCCGCTAATCCTTGCAGCTCTCAGTGTCCAGTTCTCCACTCTCAGCAGGGTTTCTTACAGTTGCTCTTTGATGAAGAAAATCTCCTTCAAATCAATAGTGAGATGTCTGGCACTCCTCAATAAATAAAGATCCAGCATTGATAAGTACGTTCTGTCACAGTTGGCCCATCATGTTTGAGTAATGCAACACAGAACACGAGAAGGTGATTGAATTATGAGGTGAGCGATCCACTAGAGAGCAGCTTCACATCAGATCTGACATCCTCTGGAGTGTACCTGAGTTCTCTCTGTGAAGGTCAAGCATCACATGGTCCACTGCTGCTCTTTTCTTAAGGTTCACCTGTTGCTCAGGAGTAATTCCGCCTGGGGGAGACTTGCAACAATGATTGAATCAAATAAAGTTGTTCAGAGTAAGTCAGGAGGGGTTGTTATTCTTTGGCAGAGGACTTCAGATGCAGTTTGACGGCCCATCCCAGTCAGTGGCGCCGAGCTCTGCGGGACAAGGAGACAGTGATAATAAATGTTAAGCTGGAGGTGGTTAAACATTAAAATGACACATGCCCCCTTGTTCACTCATTACAGCATTAACATAGCAAATGGCAGGCACCGATTCATCAAATCAACAAAGATGTTGTTATCTCTTCTGGATCATCAATCCTTAATGAGCGAACTCTGGCTGCTCGGCGCCCACCCTTGAAGAAGACCTCTGGTGAAATATTTAACGCTCCTGTTTTATGTACCGCTCACGAGTAAATATAGAACAGTAAAGCATGACCGGTGCTTCTGTGCATGCGATGCTCATTTTCAGAAGACGGGTTGCTGATATTTCAATTCAAGTTCAATTCAAGTTTATTTATATAGCGCCAAATCACGACAAGAGTCGTCTCAAGGCACTTCACATAATAAAAATTCCAATTCAGGTCAGTTCATTAAGTCAATCAGAAATAATGTTTCCTATATAAGGAACCCAGCAAATTGCATCAAGTCACTGACAAGTGTCAGTGACTTTACAGCAATCCTCATACTAGCAGCTGTAAGACATTTTAGGTGATAGCATGTTGCTTTTCTGCTATTGAACTATTTTGTAATAACGTTGTGTTTAATAAAGTGAAGGAAGGAGAGAAAAAACGTTTTCCTAGCAGTTTTTAAAAATTTCCCCATGTAATCCGATTAATCGATTAATCGTGTCGAGACCCCTTCCGATTCATCGATTATCCAAATAATCGTTTGTTGCAGCCCTACTTCACATAAATTTCCGGCTCATGTGCAGAGGGGAAGCAGCGGAGAGCGCTGAACAGGAGCAAACTGTGGTGGGAATCCTGGCACAGCTGTCTATAAACTGGAAACCCCTCACGTTGTGTTTTAATGCCCTTGAATCATCCAGTGCTAACACGGGGGTTGTGCCAATCTGGCACTACGTTCGGCACAGCCTCCGTTGGCAGGGTGAGACGCCATTGTTGGAGGAAGAGGCATTCGGCCCACAATGGTGTGAAAAGAGCTGCAGCACGACGAGAATTGGGCGAGTATTATCCTGTGTGACATGGTGAGCGCATGTATTAAAAGAGTGACAATAAAAGTGTCGTTTCAGAAGTACAGTATGCCACCTCTTTAACCCTAACCCTAGCACTAAAGTCATCCTGATCTCACAGTAAACAAATGAGCCGCTGGCTGGAGGAGCTTCTACAGGAGTCAGTGTAATAACAAAAACACTCTTTTCATGTCTGCTTGTTGTAGAAATCCAACGTAATCGACTGGCGATCCTGACAAAACCACCTTAGTAAGAGAGTTTAACTGATCAGTCAGTGAAAGGCTTCCTAACCAGCATGAAACCTGCTGTGTAATTAGGCCATATGGCATTATGTTTTTATTTTACAGCAGTTATGGAGATTAGTCCACCAATATTTGTTTTTCAGGTTTATGTGATTCCTGGAGATCAGCTAAAGAGCCACAACTTAAACCATAACCTTTGACCTTGGGACCCTCTGGTTTAAACTTTTAGTGGATCTGTAAAAACTTGAGACTTCATGTATTTTATATAACCCTTAAATTTTCTAACGTTTTTGTCCTTTTAGCACAAAAAATGCACTTACAAATCTTCCATTAGAAATATTAAATAACATTTCATAAGTCCCATTTTTTAAACATGGATTTCATTCTTAGCTTCAGCCCTAACAAAATATGATAAAATATTTGTGTCTTCCTGAGATTTAACCACTTTATTGCCAGGTTCATGATAAAAACCAGAGCTGTGAAAAATATTTAAAAAAATGTAAAAATCTAATCATATTTTGTGTTTTATGTCCAAATTATCTGTTTTGGTGTTGAATTGTCACAGCCTTTGGGTGTCACAAAAAGCATTTATACTTTTGCTCACTTTATAGTTTATAGTTGTGTAATTTTCATATTTTCTAAATAAGTCATAATTTTTGCATTTGTGAACCAAAAATGCTAACACAATACCTCCTCATAGAACATTTCATAACTCCCAATTTTTACATGAAAATCATCCTTTGCTTCAGTCCTCACAAAATATAATAAATCATTTGGGCGTTCCTGAGATTTTACCTTTTTAATAGGGATGTGTATTGGTGAAATTCTGGCAATACAATATGCATCACGATACAATTCAATTCAATTCAAAAATACTTTATTAATCCCAGAGGGAAATTGATCGCTGTAGTAGCTCAGAATAATAATAATAATCAAGTCAGTTGTTGTATATTACAACGGCTGTTGGCAGGAAGGATCTCCAGTGGCGGTCAGTGTTGCAGCCAAACTGAAGAAGCCTCTGACTGAAGACACTCTTCCGTTGTCGGACAGTCTTGTAAAGAGAATGCTCAGGGTTGTCCATCATTTTCTTGATTCTCTGGAGAATCCTTCTTTGCATTATCTCCTTATTGGTGTAAAACTCTCTGACAGTAGGAAGTTTATTTTATGCAATTAAAGAAATTCAATCAAATCAAATATACTTTATTAATCCCTGAGGGAAATTAGAGTTTCAGTACACACAATTCAGAGATCAGACATACATGGTTAAGACACATGACAAGAATTGGTGACTGTGGTCATTCACAACCCTGAGTCGCACTACCTTAATAGAGATAAGGGTTACATGAGGATTGGTTCAGGTGGAGGGAAAAAGGCACTTCAGAGTTACCCTCCACCAGGAGGACAGCTTTGCTCTGCAAAAAAAAACCTCAGACAGATATGCAACAGACTTCACACAACATAAGTGTCCACTAGGTGGGGTGGTGGGTTGGGACTATCCCCGCTTCAGCTCCTGCAGCCACAATAAGCAGCACATGTCACCTCAGTGTGGATAGGGGGAGGAGCATTGAGAGTTGGAGGGTTGCAGTGACCCTGGAACATTTCAGCGGCCTTCCCACTGTCCCGCCAAGGCTGGGAAAGGAGACAGAGTTGAGTTGCCATAGCGATGACACATTCCACATATCTTCTGAGGGAGGGGGGGGGGGGGGTCGTTGGAGCCTTGCAGGCTTAAGGGCGCCAGATTCCGATTAAAATTTGTTTGGGGGCCAGACAGAGATAATTTCCTCTCTGTCTTACCGTTTGTTGGTCCTCAACCTCTCAAAATCCCAATAATGGACATTAATGTATCCCAATCCGTGCTGATTCGTCCACTCTCTCCTTGATGGCATCCATCTTTTGTGCCAATAATGAATCTCGGCCAAAGTCCCAAGCTTACGATTCATCTCGACAATTATGTGAGTCTGTGAATTCACAGCGCGGTGCAAACCATCTCTGAGCTCCGGGATCAGGCCAATATTCCTGGGCAGCTCGTTAATTTTCCGGTAAACCAGGTCAGAGCCCTGCACTGAAGCCCTAGGCCCTCGGGTCGGCCCCGACGGCCCGAGGGCCAGGCTTCGGGCCAACGACTGTGCAATTACCTCGAACACGGGCCGGGCGCCTTTATTTTTAATCGAAATCATTAAAAAAAATTAAAACACTTAAACGCAGCAGTAGAGCCCTGCGCGGGACTGTTTTCTTCATCCCGCTCCCGCTGAATTTCTGACCATTACAGCCTGCAACCGCAACATGTGTGTTACACTCCCGCCCGCACCTGCAGCGTACATGTCTACTCCCGCCCGCAACCGCAAAACTCGGAGAAATTATTACCTCACAATAAAAGAGATGTATTGAGTTTGCGTCCTCAACATGTCATTATATAGGTTATCCGCTTTCACCGCAGCGCTGCGCTCCGTTTCAATCAGGCTGTACAGCAGGATTTCCCCTCGTAGCGATATTTTCTCTAACTCTGATTGCTTCATGCTATAGATCGTTGGAAAGCTGCTTTTATGTCCTTTTAGGAACCGTTGGAATTATTTGAATCTGATCAGCCATTCAAAAGTTATAAAATGGAGCATTTTGGATGACAAACTCGGCACGTCTCTGAATCTGTGTTGTGATTCGTTGCGCTCAAGGCAGGGAATCCCGGTGGCTACCGTAATGTATTGTATATGCACGGAAAGCCCCATTTTTAATCTTTTCAGCACTTTTGGAATTTTAATGATATCTTGAACTAGAGTAGGGATCGGCAACCTGCGGCTCTTCCATCCATCTGATGCGGCTCTCTGTGCTTGTAAAATAATAAATGGTTATTTAAATAAAATGCTTTATATTTTACTGAATTAATTTTATATCTGTAAGTCAATTCTATGTGAAGATTGTCTGCGTAAACCTGAACAGACCCAACCCAATCTTACTGTGAGACCGTGTTGGGTCACGCTTGTGCGTAATCATATACGCTTATATGAGCTGAAGAGGATGTGAGATTCTGGGATTCTCCTCAGACGGCTCCTGGATGTGTCGCACATTGGAGACAGGAACAAGCACTTTTCAGCCAAGTTTCATAATCGGGGAACATTTTCTAAGTGACAAGTCTCTCTGAGTGACAGGGTTTGGAAAACACTCGCTTCAGTGGGAAGAAGCTTCCCGCATGCGCTTCTGCGACGCTCGGATCCTGCATGTCTTTTAACACATTGGTCAGGATTGACGCACTTTGTTTTCATTTAGTTGGTTAAAAAAAAGTCGGGCTTGGGCTCGGGCCGGGCCAGAGAATCCTGAAAACCTTTTCGGGCCGGGTCGGGCTGGGGCTCAGATTTTAGGCCCGTGCAGGGCTCTAAGCCAGGTAGCCTCCAAGGCCAATGAGCAGGAAACCCGACACCAACACCACAAATATCCACACATCTTCAGAGTCCTCCACAGACAGCTGAGTTAAACAAATCAAGTTCCACTGTTTCCAGGAGTCCAAGATGTGTCCAACTGGGTCTGTCCCAGCGGGGCATCTGGGAGCCCCGTTTCCCGTTCTCTGTCGCAGCCTGGTCTAGCAGAATTGGAACAATTTGGAGTTTTTGCTGCAGGCAAGGGCTTTACAGCTTTTATACAAGAAATATTTTAGGTGAACTTTATGTATTTAATGTGCTTCTTGTGAAAATCCCTTTTGCTCACCACATTGGTGCTGTTGTGACAAAAGA